TTCACAATGTTGTCCATAGCTTGTCATGATCCACACAATCGAAAGCCTTTCTGTAGTCAATAAAGCACAGGTAAACATCTTTCTTATATTCTCTGCTTTCAGCCAAGATCCATCAGACATCAGCAATGATATCCCTCATTCCACAGCCTCTTCTGGATCTGGCTTGAACCTCTGGAAGTTCTCTGTGAATGTATGCTTGCAGCTGTTTCTGTATTACCTTTAGTAAAACTTTACTCGCATGGGATGCCAAAGATATTGTCTGATGATTTCTGCATTCCATTGGGTCACCTCTCTTAGGAATGGGCAAAAATATGGATCTCTTCCAATCAGTCAGCCAGATAGTTGTCTTCCAAATTTCTTGGTAGATAACAAATATTCTGGAACATTTAATTGTGCTTCTTAGGAAAGTATACATATACAAGAGGCATCATTTGAACAGAACAAGGGGAAACTAAATGGTTTAAAATCAGGAAAGGTATGTGCCAGGGTTGTGTTCTTTCACCATACTTATTCAATTGGTATGCTGAGCAAATAATCTTAGAAGCTGGAAAATATGAAGAAGAATGTGGCATCAGGATTGGAGAAAGACTCATTAACAATCTGTGATATGCAGATGATACAACCTAGCTTGCTGAAAGCGAAGAGGACTTAAAATACTTCGGTGTGGGTTGCACCTCAATGTAAAGGAAACAAAAGTCCTCACAACTGGACCAATAAATAACATCATGGTAAATGGAGAAAAAAGTGAAGTTGTTAAGGAATTAATTATGCTTGGATCCACTATCAACAACCAAGCAAAAATTAAATCAAATATCATATTGCTTTAAGTAAATCTGCTGCCCAAGAACTCATTAAATCATCAAAAGCAAAGATATCAGTTTGAGGGCTAAAGTGTACCTGACTTAGGCCATGATATTTTCAATAGCTTCATATGCACGTGAAAGTTGGATGATAAATAAGGAAGACTGTAAAATAATTGATGTATTTTAGTTATGGTGTTGGAGAAGAATAGTAAAAGTACCATGTCTCTGTTAGAAGAATGAACAAATCTATTTTGGAAGAAGTATAGCCAGAATGCTCCTTAGAAGCTAGGGTGGCCAGACTTCATTTCTCATATTTCATACATATTATCAGGATGGACCAGTCCCTGGTAAAGGACATCATGCTAGGTAAAATGGAGGGTCATTGAAAAGGAGGAAGACCTCCAATGAGATGGATTGGCACAGTGGCAGCAGCAATGGGTTCAAACATAGCAATGTTTGTGAGGTTGGCACAGGACCAGGCAGTGATTAGTTCTGCTGTACATAATAAGTTCATTATGAATTGGAGCTGACTCAATAGCACCTAACAATTATGAACATTATACTCCAACAAATTTGAAAATCTAGAAGAAATAGACAAGATTTTTACGGAAACACAATATATCTAAACTAACATAGAACGGTCAACTACTTGAACAAGCCTGTAACAAAAGAAGAAATGGATGAGGTCATTAAAAAACTATCAACCAAAAAATATCTGGGTCCAAATTTACTAGTGACTTCTACCACATATTCAGAGAAGAACTGACACTAATTATATTCCAAATATTCCAGAACATAAAATAGCATGGAAAACACCCAAATATATTTTATGATGCAAGCATAACTCTCATATCCAAACCAGGCAAACACATAGCTAAAATGAAAAATAACTATAGACCAATATCCTTCATGGACATAGATGCAAAGATTCTCAACTAAATTCTAGCCAATAGGATTTGATATTTACAGCATATCAAAAAGTACATCATGACCAAGTGGGATTAATACTAGTGATGAAAGGATGACTCAATATTAGAGAAACAATCAACATAATCCACTATATAAATAAAACAGAGGGAAAGAACCACATGACTATATTAATGCAGAAAAGACATTTAACACAATCCAATACCCATTCCTGATAAAAACACTCAATATAAGGGAAATTCCTCAACATAATTAAGGGCACATATATGTAAGTCCGACAGCCAAAATTACTCTCAATAGAGAGAAACTGAAAATATTTTTTGTGTGAACTGAAACTAGACAAGGATGCTCTTTATCACCACTCCTATTCAATATAGCCTTGAAAGTCTCAGTCAGAGCTATAAGGCAAGAAAAATAAATTGTGTTTGTTGTTGTTAGGTGCCATCAAGTTGGTACTGACTCATATCAACCTTATGCACAACAGAACGAAACATAGCCCAGTCTTGTGCCAGGCTCATAATTATTGCTACGCTTGAGCCCATTACTGCTGCCACTGTGACATTCCTTCTTGTTGGGGATCTTCTTCTCTTTGACTGACTCACCACTTTACTTAGCACAATGTCCTTCTCCAGGGACTGGATCTTTCTGATAATATCTCTGAAATATGAGAGATGAAGTCTGGCCATCCTGGCTTCTAAGGAGCATTCTAGTTATACTTCTCCTAACACAGATTTGTGGCAGTCCATGGTACTTTCAATATTTTTCTCCAACACCATTAATTCAAACACATAGATTCTTCTATGGTCTTGCTTATTCATTGCTCAACTTTCACATACATACATCGAAAATACCACGATTTGGGCCAAGCACACCTTTAGTCTTAGAACTGACATCTTTGATGTTGAACACTTCAAAGAGGTCTTGTACACAGATTTGCCTAATGCAATATGTTGTTTGATTTATTGACTGCCACTTCCTTGAGTGTTGATGGTTGATCGGAGCAAATTAAAATCTTTGACAACTTCAATCTTTTCTCCATTTATCATGATGTTATTTATTGGTCCAGTGGAGAGGATTTATGTTTTCTTTATATTGAGGTGCAACCCATACTGAAGGCTGTGGTCTTTGATCTGCATCAGTAACTATTTTAAGTCCTCTTCCCTTTAAGCAAGCAAGGTTGTATCATTTGCATATCTCAGGTTGTTAATATGTCTTTCTCCAACACTGATGCCACACTCTTATTCATATAATCCAGTTTCTCAGATTATTTACTCAGCATACAGATTGAATAAGTATCGTTTAAGAATACAGACCTGGCACACACTCCTAATTTTAAACCAATGAATATCCCCTTGTTTGTTCAAACAACTGCTCTTGGTCTATGTACAGGTATGTCATGAACACAATTATGTGTTCCACAATACTCCTTCTCCACAATGTTGCCCATAGCTTGTCATGATCCACACAATCAAAAGCTTTTTTTTTCCCCCTTGGGGAAATTGTTCTTTGGCAGGAGGGGAGCAGTGGGAAGTATCTTCAATAAACTATTCCCCACTCTGTCATTTGCTTTCTTTTCGTCCTCCAGCCTTCCAGCACTGGCATGAGGTAGAGCAGTCTTCAGCAGGACCTCAAACTCCTCGCAGTTCTCAAGTTCCCAGCTCCTCGGAGATTCCAAGAAACCCAAGTTGCTGGCAGCTTGGCTCAAAGTTCCAAGGGAGCTCAGAACTTTTGGCAACCCAGAGTTCCTTGGGAGTGGGGCTCCAGTGTCTGTGAAGCCCAGAGCGCAGGGGCATCTGGGCTGTTGTGGCTAAGGCAGGAAGGTGTTCAGGGCTTGAAAGTATATGCGATGATGTCATTACGTTGCAACAGCGCCTGGGCTTGCACACCTATGGGAGTCTGCAGCTGCGACACGTAGAAGTTGGTTACGCCCAGGTCGGTGGCTCCAAAATGGACAGTCACGTGCACACTCTCGTGCAATGTGAAGCTCACCTGGTGACCCCCCCCCACGGCCAACAGGCTGCTTGAGCTCCTAGAGGCTGGCTCCGTCCGCAGTTCCTGAGACTCCCGAGATTCTTGAACCTCGCGAGACTCCTGGGTATCCGGCTTCAGCAGGGCCCTGCGTCCATGAGGGCCCCGGGGCAGCCTGAGCACGGACACTGGGGTGCTCAGTGAAGACTGCATTGCCCAGTTTTAGAAGCAGCAGGCCTTCAGAAGAACTAGATGGTGTCCGACCACAACCAGCAGCTCTGGTCGGGATCACGATACAAGGTCCTGCTTTCGAGGACCAGAACGTTCCCGCTGCCGGTGATCCAGGCTCAGCCCTTCTCACCACGGCTGGCTTCACACAGGGGTGGGCGTCCATGGCAAAGGTCAGGGTCGGGGAGGGAACACGCCCCCCCCCCCCCCCCATCCCACACTCACTGAAGTCCACGGCTCTCCAATCGAAAGCTTTTGAGAAATCAGTAAAGCACAAGTAAGTATCTTTCTGGTATTCTCTGTTTTCAGCCAAGATCCATCTGACATCAGAAATGATACCTCTAGGTCCACATACTCTTCTGAATCTGGCTTGAGTTTCTGGCATTTCCCTGCCAATGTATTGTTGCAGACACTTTTTGAGTTATCTTTAGCAAAATTTTACTTGCCTGTGATATTAATGATATTGTTTGGTGATATCTGTATTCCATTTGGGTAACTTGTCTTTGGAAAGTGCACAAGTACTGATCTCTTACAATTGGTTGGGCAAGTAGATGTCTTCCGACTTTCTTGTCATAGATGAGTGTGTGCCTCCAGAGCTGCATCATCCATTTGTTGAAATATTTAAATTTGTATTCTGTCAATTCCTGGAACCTTGTTTTTTGCCGATACCTTCAGCACAGTGTGGATTTCTTCCTGTAGCACCATTGGCTCTTGATTATATGCTGCTTCTTGAAATGATTGAACAATAACCAATTCCTTTTGGTAAGGTGTCTATCTCTGTCTCTTTTTTTAGAATTACAAAAAAATGCTTTTATTGTGAATTGAGTGATAGTTTACATGATAGAACATCAGTTTTGCACTCAACTAATTGTATTTTGTTTCAATGCAATGATTACAATCTCCTCCATGCACCATCGGTTAACAGTATTTGCCTCTATTCCTCCCCCTACCCCTTTTTTGATGTGCACAAAAACATGCAGGAATATATAATCATTTAAACAACTAAAGGGCACATTTTGCAACCCAGGCTCCTGCCTGCCAGCACACAACCTTTTTCTTTCTGTGAGTCCAGAGTCCTCAGCTGCTTTATCTCTCCTTGCCATCACCTGTGTCTCCATCTCTGGTGTTGCTTTTTCTCTGATTAGAATGACACATTCCGCTCATGCTCTTCTGTCTTGATGGTCTTAGGGTCATCTGTTCCTGGAATGTAAGATTAACTACTTCCTCCTTTTTTGTTATACAACTTTTACCTTTACAGTTGTGACAATTGCAATTAGTCATGACAACAGTCACTCACTATTGAATCAAAAGTATCCTATCCCCAGCTCCTTTCACCAGACCCATCTAGACAAAATGAAAACTATTCAGTGGGGATTCTACTTTCTCCCAAATGCTCTGAAACTAAACTCCATCTTGAAAAACTTGTAAGCTAGCCACTTTGTGCCTTTATAGCCCTCACCCCCACCCCATTTTAGGTAACCAATGTCTAAGTTGCCCATCCTTATCAACTCGTATACTGAGGGGATAGGCTTGGGCCTTGATGTGAAGACTCCTTCCCTCTCATTTGGTATTTTGAACTACTATATAAGTTGATCAAATTGTAGCAATTTACACTTGCTTCCTGTATCAAACTTCTTTATCTTCCTCTAGTCAAGTTCTGATCATCAAGTCATCCAAACTATGTCAAATGGATACTATCTGCAAGTTTGGATGTCCCCATACTTCATATCAGCTGGACAGTTCACTCTCTGCTCTAGTCCACCATGTCTAGGCCAGTATCAATGGGCTCAGGAGTTTCCAAGTCCCCCCATATTTCATACCAACCAGCCCTTCTTCTCTCTCTCATATCAAGGTCGACAGGAGTCTATGGAACATGGTCAAACTCAGCCCATGTCTTCATTACTGCCTTTCCCTCACTTCCACTCACAAGTAGACCAATGCGGTCATCAGCAAGCTTACATGCCTGCTCATATGATCCCTAGAGTTTCAGTTTTGAAAGGGGGATTTGTCATGAAGGAATTTGATTGCTTGCCTTGATGGCTCCAGACGAACAGCTTGCTTGTTCTTGTAATAGCCAAAAGACTGCCATTTTTGTTTTTATTTTTCCTGCTGGTCTTTCTTTCAAGAAGTATTTTTTTTACTCTAGCTGCTCCAGGCTGGTCTGCAGGTCCTTTCAAGTGGAAATGTCCCACCTCAGAACGTTCTGGATAGGGCTTAGGATTCCACCTAAGGTCCTATACACTACAAGAAATCTGTTTCACTGGGCAAGTTCTAGAACCCCTTTTAGGTATTCCAGTCAGTTGTAGGTTGAAGACAGGCTTAACAAGCTTTTTGTAATCATGTTTCCCAATATTCTTTTCTATCCCACTCATGTCTACTTTACAATAGTCGGCAAGGGAAACCAATATCTATAAGACAGTCAGTCATTTAACATTATTTCCCCTCTTTTACCTATTCAGACTATGCCTCGATCCCTGTATCACAGAGTCCTGCTTTTCCAAGGTTGAGTATATATCATTATTTACTTCTGCCCCATTTAGCCCATGCAACCCTACCTAAGTGCTCCCCTATCTTCTTTGTTCTTGTGCCCTCCTCCCTCTTTTTATGTATTGCCCTCCCCAGCACCCAAGCTATGATTCTATTGTCTTTTGAT